AATAAAAATTATCTATTTAAAGGCTCGTACAATATATATATATATATATATATATTTTTAAAATTTTGGGTTTTACAACTACTCCAAAAAAGTAAGAGAAAATTCACATAAGGTCCAAGCCTAAACACACTCTCTTAGGCTAGGATCATACCAACCGAAAACCTAAACTTGGATTGTGATAAGACAAGTAAAAACCCCAAAAGAATTTTCAAATGGGCCACTAATAAACCCTTCAAAACAATGACCCAAAACACAACTCCAAACTACCCTTAATGCTAAAACTGAAACTGGAGAAATAGTAGCTTACACGACTTGGCTCATGATGCAACCCACATGAGTTTCTGTTTCACCTGCATAGCTCCTGCTAAAAAATCCCTTCTCCATCACCAAGGCATTCGATGATTAATAACATTTAGGGATAAAACTCACAACAAAACAATATAGAATCATCCCCAAACTAATTATAATCCAATCTAATCATTAAGATTCATTTGATAAATTCATTATTCAAAAGAGACATCAAATATCTAAAGCTTTGGACTAAATCCAATCAACTCACCATAAAATCAATTAAAACTCAAAACTAGGGATGAACTCCTCATAATATGGATTTCCAATCATAAAACCATCAGTTCAGATGAAAATCATTCCTAAAAACATTAAAGAACCCTAACCCCCAACTAACATCAACAAAGAAGAGAATAATACTTTAAAGGATAATTTTACTTGAAATGAAGGATCCAACCCCTTTCTTCTTCAAGATTCAAGGAAATCTCTTCTCCACACCAATTTTCTCTTGCAGCAAAAACACATACATACTCACTATCCTCAACCGATTGAAATTAGAGAAAAATAGAGACCTACCTCCTTAAATCTTGAATTTAGACACTAAACTTTGCATATAGAATTTCTTTTCAACTCCACCCATTAACTTTATTTATTTGCCCAAATTGAACCTTGGGCTATTACAGCGACACTAGACTAGGTTTCCATCATTTTCAGAAAGTATACATACAAACGCTCTTTCCTCTTGTCACAATGTTCGTGCGATTGTTCAGGTATTCAAACTTGAATGTCCCTTCAAAGTCTTGCACACTCCTTTTTTATCAGGAGTGGGGTGGGCCAGTATGACTACCTTGTCATGACTTCATTCTAGTCACTAGTCTGCCTTTCGACATCTATATCCTTGTGGGTATGGCTAGCTCTAATGCTCTATAGTGTAACAAGTGTATACGAGCGTTTTTTTGTGATAAAATATATCCATAGGTTTATTAGGTAAAGGGAAGCAAATATATCTATTATTTAAGAGTCTAGGTATTGTTAAATTTTGCTAATTTATTCTGGTAATCTAGATGTATGAGTCAAAACAATGTTCACCAATATACAAAATAAATCAATAAGAACTATAATAAGATCACGAACAAAGACCAAAGGATGGGGGTGTGATGAAAACTTGATCGTTGTTTTACAAATGCTTATTGGGTAAACTCTTACAGGCAAAAGATCACTCTTACTTATTTTATCGAGTAACATTATCGTCATCAAAATAGATTGTTGGTAAGCGACTTTTGCTTGGTAAGTATTAACCGGGTTAGGGCCTGTTTGTTAGCAGCTTAATGGGACTTATATCTAACATACACACCTTTATATATCAACTTAAATAACCTATAAATGATGTGTTTCATGCTTAGTATTGTTTAATGGTTGGAATAATGAATTAATGGTTGAAACACCTTAGAATAATTTAATGTAAGGTGTTAGAGTTGGTAGATGTCAAGAAAACAAAGTGTTGTTCTCTATGGGCATAGATGTGCAAAGTATAATGGCTATATAAGAAAGAATTTGCACAAATGTTTTTTCTGAGATGAATTTTGTAAAATTGAGAGTTTGAAGTGAACGTAGACTTAATAAGGAATGCATAAAATAAAATCTCATCGAAAACGGAGGTCCGAGCAAAAAGTTATGAATGTTTAAGTGTTTGGTGGTCAAAGTGGGTACCCAACCGGGTCAAACCCGACCCAACTCGGGTTTTAGCAACCTTAAGTTAAAATAAAACGATTTTGGACCTATTTTTATTCCCCATTTCATTTCTAGCTTTAGGAGACTTCAAGAGCATCAATCTTGCGTGTTTTTACAAGAAATTGGTGAGATTTTGCAAGATTATTGAAGATTTCAAAGGTATACTTCCATTCTTGATTATGTGTTCAATTTTAGTTCAAGAAACCATGAAGTTAGGGTTGCATGTTGAGGATTACAAGTTGAAATCTTGATATTATGTAGGATAGATGATAGACAACGTATTATCTTGTTGAAATCATGATATAATTTGAAAAAGTTTGACTTTTGATAGTCAATGTTGTATGATGACGAAATAGGTGGATGTTTGGTAAAATAAGGGTGGATTCATGATGATTTCGTATAAGTTATGGTAATATAAGACTAAGATATGAACTTGGTACAAAATGGTTTGGAATTTAACATGAAATTGTGAAAAAAATAGCTATTTTCGAGTTAAAAAGCCATGATACAGCTTCGTTTAGAAAAGTCATAGAAAATCATTGAAAAATCACAAAAATATGAGTTCAGGGGCATTGGAAAGCTATGAAAGAGTAATACAAATTGTCTTTTGATGCTATTTTGTGATTATGAGATTTTATAGGGTAAAACAGGGCTTGAAAACAGAGTTGTGCAAGGGAATTTTAAAGTGTAATTATCAATTGAAAAGAGTTTAGATGGTGTAAATGGTAATGTTTGCTTATGATACTTGGTATGTGTACTCCAGGGGTTATATAGATCACGCTGGAAGCTTGTGACAAGTGTTTGCACTATGGAAACTCGGAGTTGGATCGAGGCTTTTGGTTTGATCAACCGAATAGATTAAGCAACACTGTGAGTTTATGTGGACATATGGGTGTATTTATGATTATGGATGCTTATTCGTTTTCTTGTTCATCCATGACCCATGTTAAATCTTGAGTATCCCCTCGAATTGTCTTATTGCTTATATTGTCTTGTAGTTCCTTTTGGGTGCCGACTATCGACATCCCATGGATTCGGTTCAGACAATCGGAGGAGCTACCGTACTTACTGCCCAGTGGGAGTCAGGGGGTGAGTATAGGACTTTGGTATAATCCAGGAGATGAAGGGAAGATTTGGTGCCATGTCTTATGTTTGTGTGTGAAGTTAATCGATATTTGACCTTGCATGATCTTGAGGATGATGTTGATTGTAATGATGTCTTTCAATGTTGAAAATCCCTTTGTGATTCCCACATTTAAAGTATTGTAAATGACATTATGTGGTATAACTAAGTTGTTGTTGTAGTGTCGTTGTGCAAACTTTCTTTCGAGTCCTTCTTTTCCTAGTATGTTCGTTTATATAACATATTATAACCACATATTTCCACATGAATTCACTAAGCTTTATAGCTTATCGATTAGGGATTGACGTGTGAAGCCTACTTTTGGTATAGGTATATGTTATTCTTTTGTGTTGTATATAGTTTGTAACTTTGTATGTTCCAGGTAGACATGTCCCCGACGATTATGTTATGGTTTGTTATGTAAATTATAAGCTTTAAATTATGTATTTTAGGTTGTAAATCGTTATCCTGTATTTTGAGGTTTTTGAAACTAAATTAATTTAATGATGGTTCTGTAATTGTTTGTTATGTAACTGCAATGTTACATTATAGCTTATACCGACAACTATACATGATTGTTTGACAGTGACTTAATAACATATAAAGTGGCTTATTCAGTAAGACTTGAAGGAGAACTTTATGCAGAAAGTCAACTTTTTTTTCTTCCAAACATGCCCCTCCAAATTAAAAAACACGCACATTCCATCTATGAAAAAACACTCACAAACAAAAACCTTCTAAATCTATACAAACATATTAATCTATACAGTATAAAAAATTGAATTTATAGGACGCCACAAAATTCTGATAGATTGCTCATAAGACTTAATTTACAGGGAAAAAAAATAAAGCGTCTTATTTAAAGGAATATGTTTATAGGACGTTTTTGGATATATTAACAAGTTTTTATGACACTTTTAATATAAAACATCGTATTACCTATTTTATAGACAAATTTGAGAAAGTGTCCTAAAATTCCAGCTTTTTATAGGACAATTTTTTCAAATAGTGTCCCATAAATATCTACTAGAACAAAATTGATTTTATAGGATGTCTAAAATATAGAAATGTGTCTTAAAAAGATATTTCATAAGACTTGAGTTTATAGGACCAAGTCAAAAAATGTCTTATCTAAAAATGTTACAATAAGTTTGTAAGACATTTTTAAACATTTTAACAAGTTTTTTTAAAAAATGTTTTTAAAAAATCAATTTAATAGAAAAAAAATTAATTGATACGGATTGGTTAGATATAAAAATCTTGAATGTGATATTTAATATTTATTTTTTATTGCATCAATTAATTTTTTTCTATTAAATTGATTTTTTTTGCAATAGTAAAAAAAAAAAAATTATTGTGGTAAATTGGATTTTTTTTTAAAATGTTCAGTTTGATATCTGAATTAAAAAAACGAGCTTTGAAATGAAAAATAGATTTTATTGCATTGATTTTTGGAGGAAAAAAACGAATTTTAGTTATTTTTCTATTATTATTTTGCAAGTTGGTTCCCCAAAATAGAAATCAAGTGCAAGTAAGTTCCCCAAAATGACGATTTTGAAAGTTGGTTCTTTAAAATAGGAATCAGGTGCAAGTTGGTTCATCAAAATAACGATTTTAAAAGTTAGTTTCCCAAAATAAAAATTAGATAAAAGTTGGTTCAATTTTAATATAATTTTTAATAAAATAAAATATCCTACTAACTAATTTTATAAATTTAGAAATGGAAATGAAAAAGAGGGTTTGTCAGATTAAACCCGTGAAGGGTGGAACACGTGGATAGGAAAATCAGCAGAAAAAACTTCACAAAATCATAGGGTTTACAAATCACATAAATAGAAAAATCTCACACAAACTCCCCCTCCCAATTGGCCTGGAGAACAAACTCATGTCTTGACAGCAAAGTAGCCGCCACCTCCATTCTTCCTTCCTTCAGGTAATCACAATCGTCTTTGATCGTTGTTAATGGCATCATCTTTGATCTCTTCTCTTCTCTTCTCTCCTCTTCTCATCTGGGTTGGTTTCATAACCCATTCAAATGTTGACTGCTTGGTCAAATGGGGCTACCTCCTTCTGATCATCACTAGGGTTAGTAATTATGTGTTTTCTGTTAAGATTTTGTTTAATGGAGAATAGGGTTTTTGCTGGAATTCTTCCATTCTTTGGTTTCGTATGAATTTTTCGCACCAAAATTTTGCCGACGTCGACCCCCCTGAATAAATCACAACATTTGAATATCCTTCTGAGTTCTGGGTGTCAAATGATTTCCCTTTTGAGACTACAATTGGTTGAATTTGTTATGTTTCAGTCCAGAAAGATTGCAGGACCGTAAATTTGTTGGAAATTTAAGAAAATAAAAGGTTATTAGAGCTGCAAAGTCGAAATTGTTTGGGTACATTTGTGAAGTACCAGGTGACCTTGAAATTCAAAATTGGGGATTTTTTTTCTGGGAAAGTGGTGCTGAATGGGTATGATCTTCTTAGAACAACGAGCTGAAACATAGTAGGATGCTTGATTAGACCGATTGTGTCTCTTTTTTGTTATCTTTATTGCCTTTTTTATGCATAAATTCTTGTTGCTCACTCTTTGCCAAGTCGGGGCTGCATTTCTTCTTCAATTCTTGTGGCTTTAATCCTGTTATAGATCAATGTCTAATTATTGATTTCTTTAAACTAAACCCATATGGTTAAGATTATAAGCTAACAAATTGGGGTTGCGACTTGCGAGTGGCCATAAGGCCTGCTAACTGGATTCATGAAATATGGCTAACTTTCAAGTCTGAATTGCTAATATAGAGTTCATTCCTTTTAAAGGAAGGAGGGAGTATGCAAAGATCGAAATTGTTTGTATGTTTTAAAGCATTATGAATTAGTAACCAGAACTTCTAGTATAATGATTTAACATAAGACTAACCTAGTTGAAACATTTCCTTTTATGGTAACCTTTTCTATACTCGCTCGCCAATAATCATCATAAGAAAGAACCAACGATATTGGTTTTGGTTCACGAAATTCCTCTAACTTGTCATGGTTGAAGGGTAATTAAGACATTTGGTTGATGGAAGAACACTTTCTTAGTTCTCAAATCCGTCCAAAGCTCCAACACCCCTTTCAAAGTTGCGTTCTTTTTAAACTAGGAGTTCTTGTGTTACCTAAAGTTTCTTGGTTAACACCATCAAGTTCTTGCTGTAATACGTTGGATGTTATTGGTATGATTCTCCTTTTGCCGGTTCGATCAATGTTTCTTTGTTAGGCGTAGTTTATTTATATCTTTTTGTAACATATATAATATTTAAGCAAAACACTCCTCACGTTTGGTGAGGCTTGAACTTTGACGTCCAGGGAGGTTGGGATCTATTGTAACCTGGGATACCACCGTCCACTGGGCCAATGACCCTTTGGGATAACACAGTTATTTTTGGGTGGCATACGTAACACAGTTATTTTTTAAGTATATACTATTTGTCTACGGAAAAAGACACTCGCATACACTCCTCACCTTTGTTGAGGTTTGAACCCTTTGACCTCCATGGAGGTTGTGCTTTACTAGTAACCCGGATACTGTTGGGCCAATGACCCTTTGGTTATAAGCTAAATTGTTCATACAACTTCTGCAGACCATGTTGCGTACAAAGCAGCTCGGTGTTCTCTCCCAATCGGCTCGGTCGTTTTTCCTCAATGGGTCAAGATGTAGTGCAGATGGGAGTTCCTGCACTTGTTCGGAAGATGAAACTTGCACTTCCAAGAGGCAAACGACGACAACAAATGGAGTTCGACATCCACAAACAACATCCATCTTGGTGCCCAAAACTTCCACAAGCATACTGAATGCAAATAAAACCGAGCCCAAGATAGTTGACCTTCAGGTTTCTCACCCAACAAAGTCAAACTCATTGGGAAAAACTGAGTGTGTAAGTTATGCTGATGATAGCGACACACTGCAGCCGTCTGGTCTTACTAGCGGTCATTTTGTCAGGGCTGGTATTGCAGCGGTCAACTTCTTAAACGATGTGGTCAACTACAAGATTCCCATGACTGAAGGGAGCGCAATGGTTGACTCCACTCAGAACTACATGGTTCAGCAGGCTCGACCCCGCCTTAGAAACACCGGTTCGTCGAACATGAAAACCTACAAAAAGGTCGAACCAGAGACAACAACTTCAAGCACCACCACCAACTCGTCAAATGCTAAAGCGTACAAAAAGGTCGAACCACCAGCTACAACAACAAGACCAAGTGCTAAAACCACCGGAAATGTAAATAAAGGTAAAGCGGAAAAGTACGTTTATGGTAAAGGTTTCAACAATGTTCAAGATCACAATGTATCAAGAAAATCAAAAGATTGTGTAAATCAGTTCATGGTTCGTCCACGAGCTCCTGAATTTCGTGCAGCTGAAATGCTGTCAGTAAAGGCAGTTCCTCCGGCGGGCAGGCAGTTTTCCAGCTCAGCGCATATGGTGGAGAGCGTTTTTCAGATATTACGACAACGGAAGTGGGGCCCAGCAGCCGAAGAGGCGCTATGGAGTCTAAACTGTTCGTTAGATGCATATCAAGCGAATCAAGTTCTTAAACAGCTTCAAGATTCTTCGGTTGCCCTTAGCTTTTTCTATTGGCTAAAACGGCAGCCGGGGTTCAAACATGATGGTCATACATACACAACCATGGTTGGCATCTTGGGTCGAGCCAAGCAGTTTGGGGAGATCAACAAGCTGCTTGATCAGATGGTTCGAGATGGGTACCCTCCAAACGTTGTGACGTACAACCGGCTGATTCATAGCTATGGACGTGCAAATTTTCTGAACAAATCTCTTGAAGTTTTTGACCAGATGCAACGAGAAGGCATCGAACCAGACCGAGTCACGTACTGCACCCTGATCGACATCCATGCAAAAGCTGGCTATCTTGATGTAGCCATGGGAATGTACCAGAGGATGCAAGAAGCTGGGCTTTCGCCAGATACGTTCACGTTCAGCGTCATCATCAATTGCCTTGGAAAGGCGGGTCACTTGGATGCGGCTCTGAAACTATTTTGCGAGATGGTTAGCCAGGGGTGTGTGCCGAACTTAGTGACGTATAACATCATGATCGCTTTACAAACCAAAGCAAGAAACTACCCGACTGCATTAAAGCTGTATCGTGATATGCAAAATGCTGGTTTTGAGCCCGATAAAGTGACTTACAGCATCGTTATGGAGGTTCTTGGCCACTGCGGGTATCTTGAAGAAGCCGAGGCTGTTTTTGAAGAGATGACGCGAAAGAACTGGATCCCGGATGAACCTGTTTACGGGCTTCTCGTGGATTTATGGGGGAAGTCGGGAAATGTCGAAAAGGCGTGGGCTTGGTATCGAGCCATGTTAAACGCGGGTTTGCTTCCTAACGTGCCCACTTGTAACTCTCTGTTGAGTGCTTTTCTTCGGGTTCACCGGCTTTCGGATGCTTATAATCTGGTCCAGAGCATGCACAGTTTAGGACTGAACCCTTCTTTACAGACTTACACGTTGTTGCTTAGTTGCTGTACCGAGGCCCAGTCTTCGTTCGATATGATGTTTTGTTGCGAGCTGATGGGCGTCACAGGCCACCCGGCACATGCTTTTTTACGGTCGATGCCGGCTGCGGGACCTGATGGGCAAAACGTTCGGGATCACGTAAGTGAATTCTTGGATCTTATGCACAGCGAGGACAGGGAGAGCAAGCGAGGGCTGGTGGACGCAGTGGTGGATTTCTTGCACAAATCAGGGCTGAAAGAAGAGGCGGGGTCGGTGTGGGAGGTGGCGGCAGAGAAAAACGTGTACCCGGATGCGGTTCGGAAGAAAAGCTCGTGTTATTGGCTTATAAATCTTCACGTGATGTCGGAGGGGACGGCAGTGACGGCGTTATCGAGGACATTGGCGTGGTTTCGGAGGGAGATGCTGTCTTCAGGAGTGTGTCCGAGCCGGATTGACATAGTGACAGGATGGGGGCGGAGGAGTCGGGTGACAGGGAGCTCGTTAGTTAGGCAATCGGTGCAGGAGCTGCTGAACATTTTCGGCTTTCCATTTTTTACAGAGAATGGGAATACCGGGTGTTTCGTGGGGTGTGGTGAGCCGCTTAGCCGGTGGTTGGTTCAATCGTATGTGGAACGGATGCATTTATTGTAGTAGCGTTAGTAACAATTTTGCGGATGGCCATCGCCATTAGCTTAGCTTCTGGTTTTGGTGAAGAAGATGGGCTCCGATGAAGCCTTTTTTGCAGATGCTGGAGAATTGTAATTTGTCATGTAAGTAGTATTCATCAAAAACAGAATGAACGCTTTATTATTACTATCATTATTATTATTATTATTATTATTATTAATTATTATTATTATTTCTCGTAAAAATTGTCATGTTAAATAAAAAATATGATAAAAAGTTTTTATATTGTAGAAAGTTACATAGTCGATTTTGATGTTTTCTTTGCACAATTCTAGTTTTAAATTAAATTACACGATTATTATAACCGTTTAAAATAAAGAATCTATTAAAATTAAATGTATTTTTTGTTTTAAAGATTTTGAAGTTTCATTATCTAAGGTGAAATATTTGGCTCATGCCACTGCAGGGTGATGAATCTGTTATATTAAGGGGTCGTTTACCAAACACTTACCCAGTAACCACTTAGCGGTAAAATTCAACACTATCATTTACTTACTAGGTAAGATTTTAGTCAACAAAAAACGACTTTCTATGCAACAATTTAGCCGATGTGGTAAGAATCATTGTCCTCACTTACCGTGTAAAACATTCGGTCTTTACTTCGCTCTTACCGAGTAAGATTCTTGGTCATTGCCATATTCATCTGACAAGATAATATAACTTGGTAAACGCTTACCCAAGTAAGCATTTGGTAAACGGACCCTAAGATTGACTTGCATCTTATTAGAACCATGGTTTTGTCCAACCATCTACATGTTCAATATGTGCCGACTGCTGACGAAGGGGTTAAGGGGGGTTACACATGTATGATCCATGTTTCACATCACTCGTATACACATGGCAGCCAGTCAATGATTGGATGGTGTAATGCATGTTGGTTAAGTCGGTTACTTGACAAGGCATCGTCATATGCAAGAGGATGAAATCTTTTCCCTTTTTCTCTCTAGTTCAAGATCATGACTCCAACGACAATATCGTCAACAATTTTGGGCCGAATGATGATACCATGGGTTCCAAGGAGTGCAAGCCTTTGGACGATGCCATATAATACATACACAAACACACACAAAATGGTGAAGACTGAAGTTGGTGCTTTACTCCTAGTTATTCTATTTTTTTCTCAACTCGACTTTCAAGTAAATAAGCAATATCTGCATGCATACTCTTCTAGGGGGTTTTATTTGTGTGGCTTATTCCTATTTCGTCATCTTAAATTCATCTGCTGCTTCGAAATATCATCGACACCATAACTTAAGCCACATTGGTGTCCACGACTTAAAACAGTATGCTTCCCTCCTGCAGTATATATAAATAGGTAAGCCAAAGTATTGTTATTTCTTTCTATATATAGGCAGCTTTCACCCTTTGAAATGTTGGCATTGAGGTATGATTCATCCATCCAAACTACCATTTTCAGATGTTGGTTTCAGAGTCTATATATACAATACACTTATAAACAAGCATCCTCTAAATACATAAATTTCCACATAATGGGAAATTGGTTGATTTGAGGACTAATGTTCAGTCGTACTGCAAACAAAAATACTTCTAAGACTAACTTGTAAAATGATGGAACTTAATTATACTAAAGCTAGGATGTACAATTATGGCTACGGAGCACAAAGTCAAACTGCACTCACAGTATACCAAGTCAGATAACACGAGTGTTGTAGGAACCACAATGCCGGCATTTGTGGTACAGCCAATGGAATGATACACTTCCTCTCTTCTCACAGTCGTTGCATAAAATTTCCTGAAAATCATTGTTAGAAATTAGTCCCAACAATAGGCATTTCATATAGCACCATCTACATTTCCATATTTGTATGGAGCATTTCTCAACCTGAGTCTTGCCGGAGTACTCCTCTGGAATTTTCTCTTCAGCCAACATTGCATCCAACATTCCAAAGTATACCTGGGAGATGGTGAAAATTCAACTTGCAGGAAATTATTTAACAAACAAGAGGCATATTCTTGACTTCTGGAGTCGAATAAATGCATCAGTGTTTGAAGCATACTTAAATAATAATATTGATCACATTAGATGAATGTGTGGCAAGTTGCTTCACATTAGCAAGATGGTTGAAAAATACGTACTGGTTTCTATTAATTCAAATATGTATAAAAGGAACTTCTATGCATAGTAGGTTGCTAACAAACTCACCTGCATATCCCCCAATGATTTGCTGCATATTGGGCAAGTATAGTTGGAGCAAGTGTATTCCTGACAGCAGAATCGAAGAGTCAATAAAGCAGTGTAGAACATATCCAGATTGAAGGAAAAGGGAACTTCTAGGCCTTGTTAGGGTGAAGTCTGTCTGCAGACTACGCCTAGCACTTCCTAAAGAGGCTAATTCCGAGTCTCATAATCATGAGCATTTCATTCAGAAATGAATAACCTCAAAGATAAGAGATGAATACCTGAAAACATGATGAATGCATTATATGACCACACGGAAGGGCCTTCACAGGATTGCTTGATGTGAAGATGTATTCATGGCATATCGGGCAATTGTCTTCAAGACACTTTTCTCTGCAGATATGCACAGAGAGAGACCTTGACATGCAGGCATTGCAATTCATGCAGTGGAAATAATCGATGCCCAGACCCTTCCCAAGTCTGCAGAGGTTACAGAAAGGGCAGTGGTAGATATGCCTGTTCACAGAATTTTAATGGATCAACAAAGAGAATCAATATGAAGACTAGAAGGGAGGACAATCAATTTGTCAATTCATGGGAAGCATGAACTATCTATCATCCATATGCTATAAAACTTGCCTTCATTTGTCTTATAAACTCTCAGTTAGAAGAGGTTACATTCATCAATCCATCTCATTAGCTACAAAATTTAAAGGGATAGAGCAGGCAATATGTATTGTAATACTGGCTTGACATTTGTACAATGATTGTAAACTGTGTTCAGAGGCTGGATTATTTTTTTCTGGACATGTTAGAATACATGTATAAAACAAAACTAAAGGAACTGAACTTGGATTCTTTAACTGGAAGATCGAATTAAGAAGTATATAAGCATTCAATAAATCACCTTTCATCATCAAAGAATTTGCAAATAGGGCAGTAGTATCTGGCCATAGACAGATTGTTACAAGAAACTGTTGAACATGTTGGACCAACGGGTTGTATTATTAAGCATTTCATGCACATCATCATACTCGTGGCTTTTCTGCATGTTGACAAAACCAGGATAAAGTACATGAGGAACTTATAAAACATTCCTGCTCATACAGGGACGAATTAAAGATGCACTTGTACCTGTCCATCAAGTGATCAGTCCCCTCAGCATCATCATGGCAACGTCGGCAAGTGTATAACTTGTTGCAACAGGAAGCAACAAGTTTGCAGTTCCTCTTGTAGTGTTCGCATCCAAAAACTAATTTGTTAGAGTCACGGTAAGATGGATACACACCTGGAATGTCTTGCTCGTTATCTAGCACATCAACCTCTGGATGAGATTTTTTTTGTGTATTGATCCAGCGGCTGAGAAAAAATGGAACTCTCAAAATTACGGAAGAACAAAGAACACACAAACCTCCACTATTAGTGGCAACAAGACACCAGTGTCCGAAGCAAATAAGTAATTGCACCCAATCAGCTAAGTTATTTATGCAGATTAAATGATTAATGACTGTCAAGAGTAAAACAGCTCTTACCCGAATAGCTAACAAAGGTAAGTTTATGTCCAGATTGGTATCTATGTGTTAAGACATGTATTGAATTAGTTCCCTGATTCATATAACATTTTTTTATGGACCATATTTCTCCATGATAAAATCCTTGTTTAAAAATGTAGATGCTAAATTTTTTTGGTCTGCTTGGGAAAATCCTACAGTTCTGCTTAAAATAAATAAAGAAAGGAACGTGCAAAACTAATTTCAACCTCATTAGCAGGTTCTGGATTATGATTGATTTTTCCTGAGGCTCCAATGTTGGGTCACAATGCACTCTTCTAATTTTAGCCTCCAGTTCTTCTTGAGTCAATGGTTCGGTTTGATCAGCAACATTTGATACCTCAGTATTTGTCTTGTCAAGCTCACTGCAAACTTTACAGCTCTCCACAGGCTGGTCTTTGCCTTGGTATTTGCTTAATTTCTTTTCTCTATAATCTGCATTAGAAGTTTGCCGGTGCATAACTTTATGATTGATCATATTTTCTTTAGATAACTTGCGGTCTTCATCACATAAATTTCCTCCATGATCATCAAAACCTTCTGTAGGCAAGTACTTTGAGACTATATCCAATGTGTCTGCAGTTGATTGAGTAGGCACAGTTGACTCTTCAACCTTGGCAATGGCATACCTCTGCATACCCTCCCACCATTCACCTAACCATTGATCAAACATTGTGTTCTTGGTGGCCTTGAACCATACGGACATCAATGCGTTCTGTTCTTCTACTGTCAAAAATGCCATAAGCCATGGTATCATTTCTTGTAGAGTTTCCGCTCTTGTTCTCCCAAGCATGCATCCTATGATCTTTTCTTGCTCCTTGATAGATAAATGCTCTCTAAACAAAGGCCAGAGCTCAATTTCTTCATGGTTCACATGATCAGAAAGCATCTTATTCATGCATTTACACATGTCATGGAGCTTCAGACATAGCTGACGATACATTAGCATTGTTCCACCCTGAGAATCCACATCTCTGCTGGAAACGGAGAAATACAATTCAGAGACCTGATCGAGAATGTAGGAAATCCTATTGAAGTATTCAACATCCATTTTATGATCAATGGAGTATGAATGGCTACTGTTTTGGATGATTTCCTTTGCTTCTAAAGCTGGAAATGCAATTTCATCCTCTGCATCACTGTGAATTTTGTGTAGAACCCGTAAAAGATGGAAGCGTCTATATAACTCTCTGAAGAAAGCATCATTTTCGGCCAGGTTAGCAGAAAGAGAGACTACACGTTCCATATCCTTCTTGAGAGCTTTGTGGAAGAAAAAGATGTGATCCACTGGTCTTGACTCTAGATAGCGGAAGGAACTCTCAGTATTATCCTCGGTAGGATATGTCGAAAAAGGAGTTGATATCTTCAGTTTCTGAGGAAAAAGTACATGAAAGTTGATCCCACTAGAGTATGATGCATCGGACATCCTACCGCTGTTAAAGGCAGAAGAAGAGCTAGATATGCCTTTCTTGGCCATTGCACCTAATGCATCCAATGGCCTGCTGTTGGATCTGTTGTTGAGTTGAGTGTCCATATGCATGTATGAAGATCCAGAATTGTTCTTGATTTGTTCAGAAATAAATGAGCATCTGCTATCGAATACTTCATGCAACTCCTTTCTGAAATTTTCAATAGATGTTTTACCTGAGTAACCAATGCGTACCCATTCATACAAAAGGGAAGATAATGATTTATTAACCATAAGGCCTCCTTGCTTTATGCTATGCAAAATGGACTTGGATTCATCCTCCGATAAATGACCAGAGAACCAAGTAATTGTGCACTTGAGCAACCCAAGTGGCATCATCTCAAGACCAGCATATAACAGCCACCACTGCATTTCATGGCTGCAGTTCATGATTATAGAAGGGAAAACCTGCCAAAAACATAAGCAAGTAAGCAATCATCCCAGATGACCTTTATGGTTAGTGTCTTAAGTCACTTTAAAGGTAATTAATGCAAGAAAATTCGGCAAGTTCGTAATCGGTATATGATACTTCCTATTGTGATAGGATTGCTTATAGCTTACAAAGTCATGCAATTTATATGTAAAAAATTTCTGATAAATGTTTCAACGCAATTTTGTCCAAGTGAAGAAGGATCTTACCTCTATTTCCACAAATGTCAGGTATTTGCGGATCCCTGTCATACATATTTTCAGTTTCTCGCATAGCTTCTCTACAAAGTCTCTTGCTGACATTACATTTTCAGTCCTACTGTATAGCAACAACTGCAAACCTTCAATTTGACTGTCATCCAAGAACCGTTGATATGAAGGAGCTGGGCAATCTTCAGCCAATTCGATGCACATTGAGTAGAAGAGTTTGTCCAATGCGCTGCTGTGAATTTGAAACCGTGGTTAAAAAATGTAAACATATGGAAAAACCAATGTATGTGTGTCAATATACTGCATCTTGGATTGCTCTCTATCTCTGTTTCATATCCTCTCTCAGTAGAAGTTAAAAACACACCCGCAATAGCAAAGTCATCAGGATATTGCAAGAGAACATCTGCGAGACTGATATTTAAATCTCTTAGAAATGACACACTTCTTAGTGGCTTTTACAAGACAACATGGAATGCCTAGTCCCAGTTAAGGAAAGGTAAAGAAATGTAATAAACTTCAATGAAAGCTCATCAAATTTCTGCATCAAGCAGGACAGTTCGATATAAACATAATTCATGGTATTTGTATGTTACCTGTAAAATATGATGACATCAGCAAAAAACTTTAGCTGAACAATTGCAGGAGCTAGGCCTGAAAGACTGTTTGAATCTCGAATTGAGTATAGCTCCTCCAGAACTTCCACCAGATCCTTATGGTAGGCACTATGCCACAAAGAGGCACCACCCAGAGGATTGTATTGAACAGTTGCATGGACTGGATATTCATTCTCTAGCTTCAGTGCTTCTCCACAATGACCCTCAGATTTATATAGTTCAAGTAGCTTCCGGAAATTAGCACGGCCATTGAGGAATAGAGTTCCTTTTCCATATTTATTCAACCCTCCAGTGATAGTTGGCTCTGTTGCTTCAAGACAGGATATTACAACCTTCAAGGATGGATGCCAATACAGTACATCAGTAAATGAAACTGTGATTGGATTCAGAAGTTGGGTCAGAGTATACCTCTTGTAAAAGTAAATCCTTAGGTACAACTTCTTTAATACATTGCAGAACATTTTCCCTTTCATCTCGAGAGAGAAAGGAGTTCATCCACCGAAAGAAGTCTTCTAAGAGTATCATAGGAACGCTACAGATGAACTGCCAAACAAATGACGCCTGTTCTTGGGTTGAGAATTGCAGCGTCAGCAACGGAAATACCTGTTTCACGGTACATCATGTAGTTTCTGAGTTCCAACTTTTATACAATTAAATGTTCATATTCACTCATTCAATGGATTTTAACTTAAACCAACAAGCAATTTGGATGTACACAAAGAAATGCTCAAATTATAAAAAATCAATGCTCCAGATCACGTTTAGTCATTAAGTTAATTCTATCTTCAACTAGATAAGATTTTATTCTACCAGCTCTAGCATGCTTTTGGTCTGGTATATTTTAGTAAATAAAGGTCTATATAGGCTCTTTGAAGAATAGGCTTCATTAGAAAATTTAATAAAATTCACAAGTGAGGTTCAATTTAACAGCAAATTGTTTCTGAAGAATCCTCGTTCTTCCATTGTGATGAAACAATTAACATCTCATCATCTGACTAAATACTTCTTGCCTTCCATGTTATTGGTCAAGTCACAGTCCTCTTTATCCTAACATAGAAGCCATGTAAGTGATAAAAATAAGAGAACGAGTATCTTTCATGTGAAAGAAATGAAAAAGCTCCACAAGCTAGGTTTGGATCAGCTTCCAAATTCAAATGCAGGGATCTTATTCAGAAAAACCATAGAACCATCTTGAAAATGCACATAGGGAAACTATAGATGAATAATACATAATCCTTCTCCCTATGCATCCATTTGAAAACTCTGATTGTTGATGCTCTTTCATCTGGAAAGTGCGTACGTCAAAACTTAGCTGATGTATCTATCATAGTTTTTAAAAGCGCGCTTGAGGCTCTGAGGCTCGTAAGGCTCAAGGTCTTGGGCTTTTTTCAAGTCGAGGCTTAGCGTATGCACGAGGCTCACTAAGGCACTGCGCCTTGACTGGAGTTACTAAAAACCTAGTTAAACCCTAAGATTAAATAAGTTTTCTCATCTTCTCATCTCCTAGATTTCTAAAAGAGATGTTATTAAATAGATAACATAAGTCAAAACCTAATATTAAATACTCAGTCCTTAGAACTTCAAGCCTCCTTCTCTATAAATATCCAGACCTTAAAACTTCTCCATCACGGCTCACGCTTTAAACCCTTCACCTCTATCAAAGTACTGTTGGTTGTTGCATTGGAGACTTGTTGTGTGTAACTGTGTGCGTGTGAGCATGTGTGTGTGTATACCGATAAGATGCGCCTCGCATTCCTGAGGACCGCGTCTCACGCCTGCTCCTCGCGCCTAGGCCTCGGACCCCTTTGCGCCTAAGTGCGCTTTGAGCCTTTAACAACTTTGGTATCTATTAGAACTTCACGTTAGTGAAAACCAAAATAATATTTGTATCGCTGCTTTCAGTGAGCTAGATCCCAGATATCCAGCGTGTACTTGTCAGTTACTCATGTGCACAAAAGGGATACAGAGTCTTAACTTGCAGAAGTACTTCACTTCTGCAAATGTCACATTGATGTTCGAGTCATACTTTTTTCCCCGCCAGTCTTTTGTTCCTGACTTTCCGGTTTCTAATGAATCACTGGAATTCTCTGAAAATTTGGAATCCATTATCCAAGAACAGTCTTAGGTGTTGCTGTCCCACATTGGCTAGAAAAAAATCATCAAACATGTATATATGTAGGAACCCCCATTTCTCTATAGTGCCTTTTTAAGATTCAAAGAGTTCCACATATCCTTAAATGGTATTAGAACACGGGTCTAACACATCTAAATCAGAAAATCATGAACAAACTGTTAAAAACGGTCACATGCAATCTGCAGTGCTATCTTTTGACCATTTAATATGTGTAAAATTCACACAAGTTCAAATCATCTTTAGCTAACTTGATCCCTTGAACAACTCTACAAGTTGTTTAAAGATTATAAACTAAGGAAGAATTTATCACTATACCAATATGGGACAAGTGATATGCCTCAAACTCACATATATATAGCTCATCAATACAAGTAAGATTCTACTAATTTTCCTATGTGGGACAAAATCTCACAATGAATCTCACCATGAAGACTATATATACAGCAAAGAGACCTTTCCACTTGTTGCAAAGATGCCCACTTGTCCAAATTTCTTTTGGTCTTGCTACTATTCATCATTGGCCTCTCTAGTAGCTTGATATCTAGAATGCCTTGATGACATTCTTGAGAAGAGGTATGTATGGATCTACACTAGGCTATTACATTCAAGAAGAGAGCCCACCATGGTTTGGCGTTTCTTAAATTTCTATGTACGGTCTCAAGCAATCTCCAAGAGCTTGGTCTCAACCTAACTTTCTTAAATTTAGGGTCGATATTTTCTTATATTTCTCTGTATGGACTCTTCAATTCAGAGATTGCTTGGGCTTCTTACATATTTTCAAGGGCTTGAAGTACCCTTCTCCCAACAGGGAATTTTGTTATGTCAAAAGAAATATGTATCAGATTTAGGGTCTGAATGTGGATTATTATGTTGTAAACCTATAGCTTCATCTATGATTTAGAAAAGCAAGCTATCACAAGAAGGGGACAAGGTTTTGAAAGGTCCATAGAAAGACATATGAATGTAAGGAAACTTAATTATATAACTATTAAATGACTGGGACATCTCTTAAGAGCGGAATTCCACTCAAATTAATACTTACACATGCAACATAGACGTACTTATTGGTAAGAGATCATTTCCTAAACGCTGTTGGTGAAAAGAAATTTTTACATGAGCAGTTCTTAAACATGGACAAACATCTATAATCCCCATAAATAAGATACTCATTGAATATGCATCCAAGATAAACAACCATGAGACTGGTGATTGGAGAGCCGTTCTGTAAATCTTCTTAATATTGATGGTGAATAGAAAACAAACTTATCAATATAGCTTGTATATATTGAAACCAAAAGTGATATGTTTACTGAACAAATCAGATATACTGTAAACAATAATGTGTCATACCTGCTCCTCTTCTTTGGCCATATGCTTGCAAATGCTGGTCTGCAATGTACCAATGAAGTAAACAAGTTCTTGAAACGGCTTGGAAATACGTCTTTTATCTTCCTTCTTCAGAACATCCAAATAGTGGAAAATGGAGTCCAGAATATCATTTGTGCTCGTATGCTCAAGCGAGTATGCAGATACCACATTCTTTACATGTGCATCCAACGCTCTAAATATAACCTGAAATTTAACAAGTGAAATATGCATTAGAACTTCAATCACCATCACTACAATTAAAGAGTCATAGGATAAATCAAAGATTTAGCTAACTGACAGTTTCTTAGACACAAATCAACAACACTTTCCAATTATAAGCAGGCAGAAATTTTCAAAACTTTAGAAGTCAACCACCAAAGTAAAATCAGTAAAGGAAAAACCACGAGAGGAATTTTTTGTGACGGAACAAGCTAATAGACATGGTAGGGACAGAAAATTAAATATAGCAAATTGAACATAATCAGACTCCGATCAACGTATACAGTGATTTCCGTCGGTTTAAAATTCCGTTCCGGTATTACTTAAAACAGAAAATAAATTCAGGAAAAATGAAGAAACCTCATCTTCAGCGACTGAGTGATACTTGTTAACAAGCTTAAGAAACTCAAACCTGCGGCGGAGTTCCTGAATCAAGTCAGGACCGTAGATCCTGCTGTCCAAGGCATCCGCCGCAGTACGACGGAGGTCAGCAAGCTCCTCACGAAGAGCATTGTGAAAGTGCAACAGCAAGAGTATAGGAGCTTGACGGAGGCGGACACCAGGAATTTCAGTAAGTTCAAAAGCCGACATAAGAGGAGATTCCGCCATTAATTACTTAAAGGCTGTATCTCCGCCTCCTCCTAAGGGGCGGAATGGTGTTAGTCGTCGGCCATAGAAGTGTCCACCACTGCCACATAACCTGTAGAGGGACAAAGGGAAGTTCCGGCATGGAAGTTGTGGTGCATATAACGACTACTGAGTCCCGGACGGACATCTATCTCTCTGGCGTTGGCCCCTTCGAACCTCCGTACAATAATTTTTAATTGATTTTTCTAGAATTATTTAATTTTGGCCGTTTGTGATGTTGATTGAGACGTTATACCAAACGGCCAACGCCCCTATTCTTTTAACGGCGTTGCACATGGAAGAGGCGCTAATCATGCTGCACTCCTCCCCCTACTCTACTCTCCTCACGCGCCTTTCACACCTGTCTTAACCGTAAACATAGTCATATTATTTCTTAAAAATTCGATTTTATTTTTATTTTTATTTTTTAATAATAAAGTACATTTTTAGTCCCTATAGTTTGTTAAAAACTACGATTTTAGTGTCAATTTTTAAAAATTTGCAATTTTCGTCGCTATAGTCTATAATTTATTATTATTTTTGTTCTTGAACTAATTCTCACATTTTAAGTATAAGAGAATAAAATGGTAAATGAATTGTAAACTAAAAGAAGTAAAACAACAATAAATTATAATAAGTATGAAAATTGCAATAATTTACAAACTATTAGGAACAAAAACCGTAATATCTAAATCACAAGGACGAAAATTACAATTTTTAACAAACCACGTGGACTAAAAACGTAATTCACTTTTTTTAAACAAAATAATAATCTATCAAAATACTTGGGGCTGTTTACAAAATACATACTCGGTAAGTGCTTACCAATAAAATTTAAAACTATTATACATTTATCGGGTAAGATTTTACTCCACCAAAACGACATCGCATGCAACAATTTACCCGGTAAGTGCTCATCATGGTAAGAGTCGTCGTTCTCACTTACCGGGTAAAACTCTTGATCTTTGTTTCACTCTTATCAAGTAAGATTCTTGATCCTTACCATATTCATCTGATAAAGTAATATGACTTAATAAACGCTTACCCGAGTAACTGTTTGATAAAAGGCTTGTATAATACATTAACTATATTGATTTATAAAAAAATCAATTTCTCGCTCTTCACTTTTTAATTTTGGAGAATTTTTAAGATTTGAATTTGTTTAATTATTTATCTCGTAAATCCTCCAATTTGATGAAAAGTTTTAGAATTTGTTGTGAATGTTGTATTTATTTTGAGACAACCCATTACACAGTGATCTTTTCTATTGAAATAGCATCGCTCGATAGTGTCTTGAACTCAGAGACTATCGTATCAAAACAAGTATGAGGAGTTGCTCTTAGAAAAGACATCAATGAGGAGTTATTATTTTTCCATTTTTAACTGAGGGGTTGTTTACCAAAATTTTTCTTAAGTTCTGTATGGATAAATTTGTTTGTCTAGACAAAAATAAGTTGTTGTTTACTTTTTTTTTTACTGAATTAACCATTTGAAAGATAGAAATAACCGTTTTACCCTTCAGTTCATCAGATAAACTTCAACAAAAAAATATGTGAAATCAGGAACAATCTACACCATAAACAATCAATGAACAATCTGAACTTGAGAGATGAGGGTTACGATTAGGTTATGGGAAAGACGAAAAGAGCACATAAATGTAAAGAGGGTTTTGAACTCGAAACTTGGAATGAAATCGAAAACAAAATATGGAACAGAGAACATATAACATAAGAAAAATTATTAGAAACTTGAAAAGAAACCTGGAACGAAATCAAAAATGAAATCTGAAATAGGCAACAATAGACAAAAATTATCTGAAATTTCAAAGGAAATCGAAACTGAAAATGAAATGAAAATCAAAATTAAAAACGAACCTCAGAAAGTTCAAAAGAAATCTGGAACGAAATCGAAAACGAAAACAAAATCGAGTTCTTCAATCTAGGAAGGAGATGAAGTGGTGATTCGAGTGGAAGGAGGTGCAATTCTTGTATCGAAAACGAACACAAAATCAAAAAGCGAAAATGAAATCAGAAAATGAAAACAAAATTAAAAAACAAAATTGAGTTCTTGAATCTAGGAGGAGATGCAGTTCTTGAATCCAAAATAAAAACGAAAATCAAAAATCGAAATCTGAGATGGGATCTAGAAGGAGGCGTGAAGAAGCATGGTTGTCTATTTTTTTGTTGAATCTGGACAAGAGCCCTTTTCCCATCCTGTGTGAATAAGCTCATTTCTATGCGAATAAGCCATAAATAAACACCACATTTTAGCTGAGCAAATAAGCCCGTTAACCCATTAAACTCATTAAACTTACTTTGATACACTTCTTCATCTTGGTTCTATTTGCTTCTTTGACAACCGTACGAACGCCTTATTCCTTTTATCTTGTCTAAAAGATGTTACCAAGCAAGACTTGTAAAAATTCCACGTTATTTAAGCCATTTTTAAAATGTTACAAACAATAATTCTATTTCATTGGAAAACAAATATTATATTTATATGATTTTGTACATTTTATTGTATAAATTTCCAATAATACCCTTACTTTTTTTTAACTTTATAGAATATATCCAATTTTACAATAACCTAATTGTAAGTTATATTGTTTATAATTTAATTTCAAAGTGGCACGTTTTATTATATAGAACTAAATTTCATCAAATGGAATATGAAAAAAATAATATTTATTATATAAAATTTTAAAATATAAATAGATAACATGTACAACTTCTAAAATTATGAAATAAAACACATGAATCTCAAAAATGAATTATGAAAATTTAATAGAAAAAATATGATATAAATTAAAAGTATTAAACTAAATTTGATTTTTCACCTTTTAAAATCATTTTTATAGAAAAATTATTGGTTAATTAACCACAAGCTAGATTATAAAATGTATTTTTAGAATAAATTAATTCAGTTATTATTTAATAAATTCCAAAAGCGTTTTTTTTCCATTAATTAATTTGTTTACCTTATATCAATTAACAACAACTAGATCGGGTAGCAGGTCGGGGTTTTCTATAAAATTTGAGTCGGGTTCGGTTGGATTTTTCGGGTTGGACGGGGTTTGCTCACCGCTAACCGAGTTTATCAAGGTAAGAGGAATGGTCAGAGTAACTTTTTATAATATAAGGGTACCCGCACAATGCAACGATATACATCTCGATTTTAATGTTTCATTTTATTTTTTTTGTCTCTATCGATGTTATAGTTTTATGTGGTTTTGAGAAAACAATAATGTTTTTTTGGATAAAATATAAATTTAAAGATATTAAAAAACTTTTTAAAAAAATATCGATGTTAGTATCAAAATTAACTATTTAAAAGTTATTTTTTTGTGTAATTGATTTAATTTAATGTTTACTTTTAAAACTTCTATTTTGGTATCTAAGATGTAAAGTTTTAAACATTTAAGTATCCAGATAACCTGTTAAGGACTAATTTTAGATTTAAAAAAATTTATGTCACTAACCACGTTAGCAAATAATACTGAGTTGAATACCACATCACTCGTCATATCAGCATGATAACCGATTAATGCTTCAATCAGTTACTCGAGTACTTAAAATTTTAAAAATTTACATTTTATGTGTTAAAATGGAAGTTTTGAAAGTATGTTACTCAAAACATGAATCAAGTTAAAGTATACGTTACTTTTTCATGCAATTTGTCTATAAAAATAAAATAAAAAATAGACATTTATTTTGAAAAATAAACATAAATAATATAGAGATTTATTCTAGGACAAATTGTATGAAAAAATAACGTACTTTAACTTGATTCATATTTTGGGTAATGTACTTTCAAAACTTTTATTTTGGTATCTAAATTGCAAAATTTTAAATATTTAAGCACTCGGATAACCGATCGAAAACTATTTTTAGATTAAAAAAAATTTCACTGTCACTAACTACGCCAGCAAATAACATTGAATCGGATACCCCAACACTTGTCACATCAATATGATAACTGATTAATGCTTCAATCAATTACCTAAATACTTAAATGTTTAAAATTTTATATCATAGATACAAAAATTAAAATTTTGAAAATACGTTATAAAAAAGAATAAAATTAAATTAAGTATTACTTTCATGTAATTTACCATCTATTTTAAAACCAAAGTTTTACAAAGCCCAACCTACACTTGCAGGTGGTTCACGCGCTGATGAGCTGCGCTGCATTTGGCGTTCACAACAAGAAACACCACGTGGAGTTCAACGGAACCATGAATCATTGACATGGCAACATGGTCCCTACATGTCGACGCGCTGCTAAAATTGTGTGTGCCGGCCACGGGATTGTCGTCACGCAATCGAGATGGTCAGCACTCACCATCTTCGCCAATTCTTCTTATTTTTCTTTTTCTATTTTGCTACTCACCTTCAAAAAGTTCTAACGTCATGATTAAAAATTATTATTTTTAAATTTTTAAATCAATTTAAAATTGTGATAAATTTTTTATTAAGCTTGCATTCGTAATTTATATGACATGAAGGACGGTGTGTCCCAGATATTTTATTTGTTCCTAAAAACATTTTTTTTTACTTTATTTTATAATTTCGTTTGGTAAATTTTTAAAATTATAAAAATATAATATCTATAAAATATTAAATACGAATTATTATTAGTACCTAATCAATTATTTATTGAAACAAGACTACAAATTTTTTTGATAGTTGCTTAATAATTTTGTGTAAAATCATTAAGTTGTTAAAATGATTAAGAGACTCTCATGATATCTTACAAAATGAAATATAATTGTTTGGTTTACAATGAACATAGAGTTCTTAATGGTTAAGGGAGGCCAAAAGTACAAAATCATTCAGAGAGTTTTAGAACCATTAAGAGGTATACTTTTTTTGCCAAACAAAATTCACCTCTTAATGATTCAGAAATTGCCTCTTAATAGAATTATTAAGAGGTAAACAAACAACTCCTACATCTAATTATAGGAACCTACTTTTACAAAAACATCTAAATATAAAAGTAAGTTGAAAACAAAACATTGAACTCATTTTATATTTCTTTTAAATGATGTTAATTATATAACCTAAATATAAATTTTGTAATGATGATAAATA